AACTACGAAAAAGTACTTAGGCCTTCATTAAGTTCCACTTTCACGCGACGTACAATGTTTCAATTTGCTCTTTACGTATTGTTCAGGCTAGGCCCTTTTCAAAAGTTACGCGAGAAATACGCACAATCGTCGCCTACCTCGCAAAACTGGTTCCAAACGGCAACAAAGGCATAAGCAACGATGAATTGTTGAACTTTGCTTGCTCCGGTGGTGTAGTGCCCAGCAAAAAAAATTTAATATCGATCAACGTAATTCAAGCTGATGTATGAAATAATGATGTAATTGTAATTTTGTAATTTATCAGCACACACCCTGGTCGACCACTGTAAACCAATCTGCCGTTCAGCGTTATCGGTTTTTGTTTCTGGATCTTTAGTTGCCTCTGTGATATACTTACTTGCGGCATACTATTTTGGGAGTGTATACGAGCGTGTACCATGTACGGTAGCTCATCTCTCATCGTGATGGTGGGACATAGTAGACAAATTAGAGAGAAAACAAGGAGGTATTAGTATTAGTTATATGTAAACAAACAAAACAAAAGAAGAGAAGAAGAAAGAAGAGCAGAAAAATAAAAAGGGGATAAAGTAGATAACAATGAAAAGAAACGTAGGCAGATTATTAGAAAAGGCATTATCCGAGACCTCAATCAAATGTCACTCCCCCCGAGATCTCAGCGAAACCCTCCCATCCGAGAGCCGCACAGCCGAGCTCGGTAGAAAAAACTAAGGAAAATAAATAAAACTACTTTATGACTCAAACTGCAATGAATGAGCGTTAGTTTCGGAATCATTTCAGTTATGTTAGTTTTGATCCGTAATCAGCCCTGCCGACCCCTCCAACATTAGTTGCAGGCAGTGGTTATTAGATAATGCGGCACTGTAACCACTACTATTTTAGAGGTATGATTCGTCAAGTTTATACAACTCAATGTTTCAATTGAGGCAAACTATCTGTCTTACAATAACAAAAGCAAACCTAAACTTACAATTATATGCAAATGCAAAATGAAACTTGACAAATCATCGTCAATCCCCTTATTCCAGGGCAGGGCCTGACGATTTGAATCTAATTTTGATCAGTGAACGGGCACCATATGGTACATTTTCTCACCATGAACCTATCATTTCCAGCCTATCTGAACTAGAGTCGGTGTATAATGAGTCACGCCAAGAGTGAAGCCAAGTCTACCTATTGAACTGTCAAACCGGCTACCTATCGTGCAAAGTAAATAAACATTACGATGCTATGAAAGGTCTACGAAAGGTATTGCAATAAAATATAAAATATAATCGAAGAAATGAGCATAAACACGCAGTGAGCGTTAAATTGTCATGGGATACGCTCGGTAATGATTAGTAATGAGAATTTCTACTATTTTTTGTTAAGATAATTTGACAAAATCACTGATATAATGATTTACTACAGTCCCAATATTTTTTCTCTCGCTAGAAGTCATTTGAAGTTGATGTAGAAGTCCTCTGTTGCCAAGTGAAAAGAAAGGGAATCCTTCGAAAACCGTGATGCGAGTTCAACTGTTTTTCTCTTGGCGTGACTCATTATACACCGACTCTAATCTGAACTATTTAATAAATGGAAGCCATAACATGGTTTACGCTCCCCCTAAGCGGGCCCTCCGCATCCTGTCTCTGTCTTATCTCAAATACAAAATGCCAATGGTATGAATGTATCTATATATAACTTGGAAATGACGTACAATCAAATAAACCCATAACCCACTCACTTGGTCAGGTTTCAGAATCGTCCAGTGGGCAGTGCGCTCTACACTCCAAGTTCCCTTTTTTTTCAAATTTACCGCAAATTTTATATTTTATCCATTGAGTGTTGATTAGTCACAATGAAACATTGTGACGGAAGTTGATGTTACTAGTGTATTAAATAATCTAGGTCCTATTTAGGATTATATCTGAAAAATCCAAATCTGGCCAACGCCCACCCTAAACCTAAACCTGTTCTAATCCACCTGAAATGACTAACGAATGGAAGACTTTCCCCCTTATTCAGCGAGTCACGTGACTCTCTCTCACCGGTGAGGTGACAATTGTCACTTCGTGTGAGGTGACTCTCCATGCAAATCAAATGGAGAGTCACCTCACACGAGGTGACTATTGTCACCTCACCGGTGAGAGAGAGAGTCACGTGACTCGCAGAATAGGGGGGTTTGACTACCCAGCCATGCAATAGTCTCATTCCGTGCCTTATGGCAACTTGATGATTCTATTGCGCTCATCTTCTGGCACCACCCAGGGGAGACTTGGTCCTGTACCCAAATGCTTAACTTATCTCCATTCCACTCAGTTACTCGCAATTTCTTGTGATATAGTGGGCGGAATATTATTATATGAGACAATTCAATGCAGACGTCTTTCCAAATTTGGCAGATCGACAGGTAATCGGTGAGTTATCACGATAGTTGCTATTCAACAACTCGACAACGTCCCATCGTCAACGCCTGCTATGAGAATTTCCCATTGCAGACGCCAACGAAATGACGTCATCGAGCTATCGATCAACTACCCTGGTTATCGCAGTAAGCTGGCTTCATGTTCGAATGTAGTGGTGGATTCAAATAAGGAACTACCCACTTCTTCCGGATTAAAACAAAACCGGTTAAACCTTCATAACATTATCATTGGAGTTGAAGCCAGTCCCGAAGATGGTGTCCAGGAAGGTCTATGAGGAAGAAAAAAAAACTGCAGTTATCACATCCAACTGCCATCAAAATATGCTGAAACATCAATGGCCGTGAGAGATATGAACGAAATTAAAAAACAAACGAAAAGTATCGAAAGCTGCAATGGAGAAGTTTTCCAAGAAAAGGTAATTGAGCTTGCTGGTTAAGGATTCGTTAGGCGACAAGTGTGTCTTCGGTCAGTCCACGAAAGAAGAGAATTATAACGCATGGTTCCATCTTTGTGAATTATAAGAAACTCGTTTCATGAAATAAATGTGTTTTTGTTTGCTACTTGTTTTGTTCTTTTTTACTAATACTGGTATTATTCAATATAAAACTTAAGTCTACCTTAAAGTGGCGATCTTGGCCCGTCCTACCCTACAGGCATTGAAAGCTCTTAATTAATAACTGTGGAAGTGCCCCTAGGACACTAAGTTGAGAGCACACAATAATCTTGAAATGCGAGGAAGAGTTAAAAGAAGTGGTAGGCTTTCTCCTTGTCCTTCATCGCTATCTTTACGGCTTTTTTAAGTGGCATTTTCTGGGTGTTGTAGAGAAAGTTTTCGAAGGTGTTCCATACGTTTGACTGCACGGGATCGGTTGGGCGTCTTGGGAGAGCGCTGAGTTTGAAGTGAAGTAGTGGCCGTATTCCTGATGTTGTCTACCAGCCAGGAGAGTATGGTAGTTGGGTCTTCTATGATGTCCTCATTTGCACTCAGCTGACTAGTTAACGTTTGATGATATCGTTCCCTTGATTTTGAGCGAGTGTACACTTCAAGTGTGTGTATGTGACCGGTGCGTGATGAGTTAGTACATTTAATGTTTTACACTTAGTAAAAGAAGCATGTGATCCGAAAAACCTGGAGCAACGTCAGTACATCTGGATGTTGGTAACTGGAACCTGTCCAATACCGGCAAGATTACGTGGTCAATTTGCGATCTACGAGATCTTCGACGCCATGTGGTGAGGACGCTGTTACACCTACTGAATGTGTTGTATAGTTTGTATCCATGAAATCGCAGAAGATCTTTGACTGCTTCACCATTAGCATTACATTCGGAGTGATAAAGTTGCTTGCCGATGATTTTTCGGTCCACTGATAACAGATCTGTGATGCCAATGTGGGTCCGCTCGTGATCCAGCCGATCTAGCATAGATTGAGAATATGAATAATTCTGTGCCAAAAACCGGCACTCGTAGCATGCAAATGTTGTCCGTGACGCGTTGGAACTTACTCATTCCAATAAACTCTCGACGCACAAGTATTGACGTGCCACCTCCCATTCTTGCTGCTATTGTCGTCTGTTGATTAACGTTGTACCACGAGAAATTCGATGTTTGCACTGTGAATGATACCATGATGAAGGCAAGCCACGTGTACTTCTTGATCCTTCATAAAGCGATCTATGGTATCGCGGTCACAGACCTGCGAGCATCCCGACACATTCCGGGAAGCAGCAATGAAAGTTCGAGGTGGACGGTTGTCTTCTCACTGCTGAGTTACTTCTAGGGCAACTGTGGGAGCTACTTGTTGAAAGGCCTGTATTTCTTGTAGAGGAAAATTTGTTCGCGTCGGCGTAATACTCGAGTTTCCACACGATACCAGGATACCAGGATCTTTTATGCTCGTGGAGGTTATTTCCGGAGCACCCAATGAGGCGACCACTGTATGATTGAATGCCAAGCGACGACGCTTTCCAGCTACTCAAAGAAAGCTCATGAAATGAATAGGATGGAAGAAAGAGTTTTGTTACCTGAATGCAATTTCATCACACTGTCGTAATGGTTGTACTCCGCTGTGCCCGAAGAGCGATAAATGATTTCAAGACAGCGTTTTAGTTTCTCAATTATTACTCTGCTACATTCTTCTTCTCTGTAAACCTTTATTGCAAAATCTAAAGTTCGTGCAACCGCCACTAAGCTTTCCTTTCCTCCCCAGAATCCTGATTTCGAAATAGAAGATAGGAAGAGATCTACCAGTTGTTTCCTCGGCCCATTGTGGTAATGCAATGATCGCGTGTGCATATAATTGTTCCGTCCATTCATTTAACCGTCTTTGGTAGAATTGTCCGACCATTGTGCGCAGAGTTTTGGCAGAAAGCTGCCCATTCGATGTTATTGCATTACATTTTCATATCTGATGTGCTAGCGATGAGAAAAGGCAATTTCCATCTCCCGGCATTCGCAACACTTCCACGATTCCCTCTTCAACATAAACTAGCTCGGTTTCCATAAAAAAAAAAAAAAACATTTCAGGGGTTGGTCATCACAAAATTAATTCAAGACGCTATCATTTAGGCTTTCTAGCTTATATTGTGATGCTAAAGATTTGAATCGTTTGCTACTTAGAGTATCTGATGAACCATCTTACCGAGACAATCGTTTGTGTGCTTATAAACTGAGATCCCTTTCTCTCAAGATTTAGTGAGTGTTACTTAAAACTTAGCTAGGCATAATTTTGCTAAACTTTTCTCAACGAAAGTCAAACGAAAACTGTTGAACGAAATCCGAAATTTACGTTTTAAAATAAAACTGAATGTAGTAACATTTACCTAACATCTCATCGAAGATATAATCGAATAACACTTATATACAGAAAAGTAGTCAACCTACTTACCGGTGAGGTAATGAACTGATTTTCTTTTCCAATCGGGACGGACGAATCTAATCGTCGTCCAATACAATCACAGACTCTTTTGGTTGACTGGCTGCCGTCGGACTGGTCGTCGTGACAGTCGTCGATGGTGTTGCCGCTGTTGGGGGTTTGGAAACACAATCCAGTATCGATTGCGGTACGGCGACTCGCTTCGACACCATCTGGATTGTGGGTTGCGGCATGCGAACGCCTTGATGTCCCTTCAGTTTGGCAATATAGGAACGACGTTCCTTCTGTTGCTCCCGCAGGAAGTTGCTTTGTGTCGACAGAGCTTCCGAAGCCGATGCTAACTCCTTGATCGTGTTGGTGGCCTGTATGGTGGGCATTACAGATAGGTTAGGTTCAGACTGATTAAGGATTAGATTGCACTCCACTACCAACCTTGACGAAGATGTTTTCAAAGTATTTATGGCACTGTTCCTGCTCGTATTGTTCCTTCTTACAGCAAAGTATCGATAGACGGAGCAGCAGAAGTTCCTCGTAGAAATTGGGCTTCGTATTTTGGAAGGCGATGATAGCACTCGCTTTGTACAGGTCGATGATGCCATCAGTTGTGACGACCTATACATGGATCCAATTAGTATAAATCGAATTGAGACAGCAGTGTCAAAGGCTATTATACTTACGCATCTGAGATTAATGGTATTGATGAGTTGCTCCTCTGCGGCTAACGCATTGGACTTAGCCTCGAATTTCCATCCAATGGTCAACGAGAACGGTTTGAATGTGTACGTGTTCTTCCGAATGAACCTGCAAATGTGTAAGCATTAGGATTCAGTAACTCCACGACCATTCCCAACACTGACTCACCGATTCAGTAGAACGACGGCTGCTTCAAAGTTCGCCAGCCGCACAAACTGCTGCTTGACGGACAGTTCTCGCACTTTGATGATGATATCGGTGGTCGACCACCGTACCGGGACCATTCCCAGTCCGGGAATGTTACTTCGAAGTACACCATCCGTGGGCTGTTTCGGTGGTTCGATTCGCAGCTGAGAGCCATCTCCCGATACGGTTGGTTTTGGTTTGTCGGTAAGCTGCTGCCGGGTGACTGATGGAGTTACGATCGAACTAGGTGCAGCCTTTATGGCGGTAGGCGTTACTGACGTTGACGCCACCTGAGGGTTTGCCGAGGTGAGGTTGTTACCGAGCGCCGAATTGGAAGTGGGTTTTGAGCTCGATGAAGGCGGAATGACAACGTTAGTTCCTTCGGCCAAACTATTCATCAAGGAACGTTTGATGCGCAGGACGCCGGTAGACGGATTGTATACCACGCCCTTCTGGTTGGGATTCAACAAATTGATCTTACTGGCTATCAGGGCTGCCTGCTGACTATTCAAGACAGTCGTACATGAAGGTGGTTTCGGCTTGGTAGCAGCCGATGGACTAGCTTCGTTTTGGTCGTCGTCGTCATCGTCCAAGCAAACGACTTCCTCTACCGCTGGCGTCTGCGCTGGTAAAGACACCCGGTTCTTCTTGGCGTTTTGTTCTCCAGCAGTAGGTTTAACTTCGATCTCTGTCGACCCTGTAGACTTTCGTTTCAAATTTAGATTGACATTCGGTAAATTTGTTAGTTTCGTAATTCTAGGATTATGCGCTGCAATGGTTGTGGTAGCTGCCGGAATGTAGGAGAGCCTCCTATGTGGGATCTGCAGCTGCTTCCTTTCGGCGGGCGCTGCCGGAGTGGCAAAGGTAGGAGCCGGAACGTAGGACATGCGTCGATTTGAGATGGCACTTTTGTTGGCTACCGGTGGGGCTTTGATTTGCAGCTGTTTGCTTTCGGAGATGGTCTTTTCTACGAGTAACGAAAGCTGATTTGTGGCTAATGCAGCTTTGCTTTGTTGCTGTTCCGATGAACTGACTGTGACGGTCGTGGAGGTAGTGGATTTCGAAACGGTCGACGACGTTTCCGACGGAGTGTCTTCGTCCGAATCGGAATCGTTGTACAGCTGATGGATGAGAGATTCCAGCTGGCTGTTTTTGTTGTTGTTGTTGGGAGTTTCTGGTTCAGACGGGGGCTTCTCTTGAGGTTCCACGGGTGTCACCACGATGGGAGTGGGTGGCTTGATAGATTCTTCATCGTCCTCGATAACGACACAATCGTCGTCGGGTGAAGAAATGGCAGCGGTGGGAGTGGGAGACGATATCTATAAATTAAAAATAATGTAAGGTAACCGTTAGAACTCAATCAACCCGAAGAACGCATCATCAGCCTAGAAGGGACCATGCATGTATTAAGTCATGCTAAATTGAGGAAAAATTAATCCCCCTTTCATATTTTTTCACGTTTTTCAGGTACCCATGATGGATTGCTTGCCATAACATCTTAAACCTCCCTCCCTCTTAGAACATGAACTACGAAAAGGTGAGTCGACAACCTGGACGCTCCGTCAAACATAGCTTCGATTGTCACAAGTTCCTACTTCACGTCTTTTCAAGTCATTAGGACTAAACATGAAATATGGGCACTGCTGGATTACCGCTGGATAGCGCAGAAACCCTAGCACAGCGATAGAGCAAATGTATCGCTGGCTTGAGCTGATGATCTTTTGATCTCCAAGTTAGGGGCGGCTGATCATCGTCGTGGTGCCACTAGTGCCAGTGTGGGATTATAAACACATTGGACTACATACGGATCGGAACAATCGGAAAACTGCAAGTCGCTCGGTTCCGCGGGTTGCGATAGATTTACCTACGACGAAATTCATCCCCGCAACATCGACGAACCGTGTGAAGGTATGGAGAAGCGGGCGAGTGAGTGGTTACTTTCTAACAGTCACCACGAACGAGCTTTGTAGTGCTAGGTAAGATGCACCAACTTGTGATTCGGTGGACGGTCAAAATCTGAAGGGAAAATCACTGATCAAGAGAGAGAATTACAGTGCCTTCCCGTTTTTGGCAACACATGATTTTTGTCTTCTTCACTTCCTAGAAAATTCATCCAACGCTTAAATCCATTTATGATATCACTAGACCCCTCTTTGGGGATACTATCTACTTGAAATGCCATGAATTATCACCAGAAAGTGATAGCCCAAATTTGAAGAAAGAATTAGTTGATGAGGTCGTGTTGCCAAAAACGGCACTGTATTAGCATCTAGACCGGATATTTGCGCTGCAGTTAATATATTAAGGAAGGGGCTTATTACGGATGTCACTTCACGGTGACAACTTGTCACTTGTCGTCACGGTGAAGTGATTTCCATTTGATTTGTACGGCAATCACGGCTCTTATTCTGAGTATCACTTCCTTATCACCGTGTAGTGACACCCGTAGTAAGGCCCCAAATATACCAACTGTGCCACTGATTGACACTGGTCAGTAGACTGATGAAAAAAAAATAATAAATGCTCCATCGTGCTTACACGGTTCCAAATTGGGTCTTGATCAGCCTCCCATATTGTGAACACTTACTGACTTGGCACACACCATTTGAAGGTTATATAGGAATAACTACGGGAAAAGCAATATTTTAGTTCATACCTCGGAGACGAACTAGCGTTCGGCTGAAAGTCTCCTTAATAAGGATAACTAACTAACTAGTTCATATCCATCTCAAAAAATCACCATTCCACTCTGCTTTAAAAAAATATAGCCGTCAATCTGAACTCGGGGTTGAAGGCTAACATTGTCTTCCCTAGAACCTCTTCCTTTCATGTATTTTGTCTTTGATGCGTTTATGGCAAGTCCAATCCGCCTAGCTTCAGCCTTCAGTCTGATGCACGTTTCCGCCATCGTCTCAAAGTTCCGTGCCATGATGCCGATGTCACCGGCGAAGCCAAGAAGCTGGATGGACTCCCTGAAGATCGTGCCAATCGTGTCTATTCCAGCTCTTCTGATCACACCTGCTAACACGATGTTAAATAGCAGGCACGAAAGTCCATCATCTTGCCGTAGCCCCCTTCGAGATGCAAAGGGACTCGAGAGTGTTTCCGGTACTAAAACAACGCATATCACTCGATCCATCGTCGCCTTGACCAATCGCGTCAGTTTATCCGGAAATCCGTACTCGTGCATAATCTGCCATAGCTGATCTCGATCGATTGTGTCGTATGTGGATTTGAAATCGATGAACAAATGATGTGTGGATGTATTCGCGGCATTTCTGCAGAACCTGCCGAATCGCGAAAATTTGGTCCGTGATAGCGCGGGCACCCATGAATCCTGCCTGGTATTGCCCCACGAACTCTCTTGCATATGGTGACAGGCGGCGGCATAGAATTTGGGAGAGTACCTTGTAGGCGGCGCTCAGCAGTGTGATCGCGCGGTAGGTGCAGCAATCCAACTTGTCGCCCTTTTTGTAGATTGGGCATACGACACCTTCCATCCACTCCTCCGGTAATATCTCCTCCTCCCAAATCTTGGCAATTACCCAGTGCAGTGCTCTAGCCAGTGCTTCACCACCGTATTTTAATAGCTCACTTGGAAGTTGATCTACACCAGTTGCTTTGTTGTTCTTCAGCCGACCGATCTCCTCCTCAACTTCTTGAAGATCAGGGGCCGGTAGCCTGTCGTCTTCTGCGCGTGCTCCATGGTATGTTTTGTTTTCTGCTGCTTCACCGTTGAGGTGCTCTTCATAGTACTGCTTCCACCTCTCAATCAACTCACACTCGTTCGCGAGAAGGTTACCGTCCAGGTCCTTGCACATATCGGCTTGCGGCACGTAGACTTTGCGCGAACTATTTAGCTTCTCGTAGAACTTCCGAGTGTCGTTTACGCGGTACAGATTTTCCATCGCCTCGCGATCTCGGTCTTCCTGCTGACGCTTCGTCCTTGGAAAAACCGAGTTTTGTCCATTCCGCGCTTGTCTGTATCGCTCCACATTCAATTTCGTGCGGTGTTGCAGCATTCTTCTCCTCTACTAACTGTTTGCATTCGCCGTCAAACCAGTCATTTCTTCGGTCCGTGATTGCAGTACCTAGTGCCGCTGCAGCAGTACTACCATAGAGGTAACTCTAAGACCACTGGGTCCCGAAGAAAATCATTATTATTTTTGGCTCACTCAGTACCAGAATAACGGTCCCAAGCAGTCCCAAGCTATTTCACTCACCCCTGCATGTTCTGCATGAATCCACACACCCCTGATGTTATCTGTCAAACTTTCATAGCGAATCAAAACAAACATAGTGTAGTAATAGAATTTCAACTAGAATAGGGTACGTTAATCGTTTGCTTGGGACCAATAGGCTACTAAAGTGGTGAGCCAATTTAAAATCGTTAGTTTCGTATTGATTGTTGGTACTACCATAGAGGTAACTCTTAGGCTAGAAGGTCCCGAAATAACGTGTTCAACTTTTTGGCTCAGCTCTGGTACTCTTTTCGGTCCCAAGCTAATCGATTCACCCCTCGAAACATGGGAAATTCCACGAACCCCTCATTTTATCTGTCAAACTTTCATAGAGAATCAAAACAAACATAGTGTAGTACTAGAATTCCGACTAGAATGGAATACGTTAATCGTTTGCTTGGGACCAATAGGTTAGTCAAGTAGTGAGCCAATTTTAAAATCGATAGTTTCGCTTCTTTCTCGTCGTCGGGTCTCCTTTCGTGTGGGCAGTGCACGTTGATGATGCTGTAGTTGAAGAAACGGCCCTTAATCCTCAACTTGCTGCCAACCAATCACGCGTTGGCGCATCATACCCAGTACTACAAAGCCGGTTCCCAGGTCGTTGGTGGTGCCACTGCTCTGGTAAAAAGTAGCCGCTCGATGCCCGCTTTTCGATACCTTTTGTCCCGTCCAGCAAAGTTCCTGCAGTGCTACGACTTCGAAGTTGCGATAATCGTGGCTTTGTGATAACATGGCTACCCTGAGCTATACCGGGTTTTTGCGCAGTAGCTTGCTGAGCGAAAAGTACCCAAAGTTACTGTCAGTTGGCGCTCCGTGAGATATGAACGAAACCATCTCAAAAGATTTCCACCGATCCTTAGCCTATCAAGCTTAGCGATCGCAATTTCGTGGTTCAGCTTATCGAAGGCTGCCGTAAGATCTGTGTAAATAACGTCCGTTTGGGTCCGAGCAATCAAACTGTCAGTGATGTAAGACGTTAGGCACAGCAGGTTCGTGGTTGTGGAACGCCCAGTTATGAATCCGTGTTGATTTATACTTAGATATTGCTTGCAATGCGCATTTAGGGACTCTATGACAACCAATTCAAAAAGTTTTGATACAGCACTCAGTGACGTGATTCCCCGGTAGTTGTTTACGTAGCGTTTGCTTCCCGTTTTATGAACAGCAAACATATCCGCAGTCTTCCACCATAACGAAAAGAGAGAGCTGGAATATGCGGCGCAGTGGATCTAAAAGACTAGTGATGTTCTTTTTAAGAATAATCGACGGAACACCATCGGGTCCAGTCTTAGCCGAAGTCTTAAGTTTAGATGCTGCTCTAGAAATCGTATCTGTAGTGGCGTCGACAACGGCTGAACGTTTGGTTGACAAAAGGAACATTACTGGCCGCGGAAGTAATGAGATTAGCGGAGAGTTGCTCGTCTTTAAACACACTAGCAAATTTGGCTGATAACAGGTTGCAGTTGTCTTGTTGATTGCCAACAGTTTCACCATTAAACATCATGGAAGAGGGTAAGCCGACTTCCCTGCGTTGCTCATTTACGAAGTTCTAGAAGGATTTCGGGTGTGATTTTAGCCGCCGATTAATCCTCCTTTGATAGCGTTGAAAACAGAGACGACTTAACCGCTTATACTGGTGGTTGAGTCCGACATAGTAGCATTTCAGCGGCAGTGTGCGGAATTTAGTAAATCTTCTGAGCCTTCTTAGTTGTTTTCAACGAGACAAGGTCTTTCGTTATCGACGGGACGCGAGAGTCGATAAGGATGATGTTTTTGGAAACGTGCCTGTCATTGACATATGCCAAGACTAAAGAATCTAGAATATGCTCCCAATCTAGGTTAGACAGCACATTGACAATACCTAGGATAATACTACGATGGTCAGCTCTACGGAAGTCATATGACACAGCGTTTGGAGTGCTGATGAAATCATGGACAATATTATTTTCGATCACGATAACTAAAGCAGGGTGATGATGCACTTCCTTGACTAAAGGTTCGGGTGCCGTGGAGAGGAAAGGATCCATTGATTTGTGACAGAATTGCGGTACTATAACTGTCCAGGAGCTGTATGGTTCCTACGTGGAAAGATGAACGCTCGTGATCAGGACAAAAGAAACCACTATGGGTAGGAGTCCATGCAATGTCTGGTAATTTTTAATTAGGAAGATGATATTCTTCTGACATGCACCACAAACTGTTCAGCAGACCACACAAATTTTGTGTGGTTGGGTGCGAACAAGTTCAACAAATCCAGTCTACTATGTCATAAGTGCAAGATGCAGTTTGCCCTGAAAGCAGTCGATTAATCATATCAGAAAGTAGTTATCGGCTTTGAAATCAATCAATATGATTGAAGTCTAATCAAAAAGTGGTCTTGAGCAAAGTTGTAACTGATTACATTTCACATACGAGCAGATAGTAAGTTTCTTCGTAAATTATTATGGCGAAGTTCTAGGACGTTGAGAACAAAAAGTTCACTTTTCCCATAGTAATTTCCATATAAACTTCAAAGGGTCAGTGTAGTTTGAGTTCGCATCCTATTTTGGATTCAAAGAAGCTCAACAACATGGAATTTAGAGATGGATTAACTAAAACGAGGTTTAAACAATTCTAAAACATTTTGCGAAACTGGCAATGAGATTAAGAATTTCGCAATCAAATATCCTAGTGCAAATTAAAATTTGCATAATCCATTTTTTTCCATTATATACGATTTACATGCCTGTTCGAATATCACCGAAACAATTTCCGCAAACTCCCTCGTGATAATCGTGAATAATTATGTCGAACATGCTAATAGTAAACAAACTAGCGAACTTACCTTCACGTCGGTCGGCTTCGCCACCGAACCCGGCTCCGCTACCAACGTCGTCGTGGTCGTCGATGTCACGTTCGGCTTCATGTACAACCACGAACCGGTAGTATGCTCCGTCCGCACGATGTGGTTATTCCGTTCGTATTCCTCCCTTGTATACATCTTCCCGTCTACGTTCTGGCACAGAATCAAGTCGATGTTCTGCGTGTAGCTGTACGGGCCTAGAAAGATACACTCGCCCTGCATCGGAGCGGCGTAGATCTGCGGTAGGACGTCCTCCTGGTCGGCCTTGAGGGCAATCGACGTTAGTCTTACGGTTTTCTTGTACCGATTGGCCAACTGGATTGCTTGCTTAATCCTGCCGTAGGTAAGACAGGACTTCCAGCTCGGAATATAGATATCGCTGAAATCGTTCGCCACGTTCAACATGAACCACCGTCGCATGCCCACATTCGGAATGGCTATATTTTTGAAATCTTTGATTTTGGTTTCCATCAGTTTGACGTTGGATTTAACCATCGCTATTGCGGCCGGTATGTCCACAGGATCCAGTGGGGTTTCAGTTGGCTTTTCCTCCTTGATAGGTTTCGGAACACCGAGGACTTTAGAAGGCTCACCATCGCTGGCCGTAGGCTTGGCGGCGGCTTCTTCAGCTTTCTTTCTGCTGGCTACGAAGGCTTCGAAGTAGCGATTGATCTTCGGAGCTAGTTTTGGGTGAGAAGCTGGAGTTGGACGAACCTCACACCCCTTGTCGAGGAAGTTGCAATCGGCTTTGATGAAACCACAAAAGCGCCAGTAGTTTTCCGTTCCAAACAGCACCAACGAAAGTTTGTTCGTTTCCGGGTTGTCGATCTGGAAGAGAATCATTTTTGTGAGCAAGGAAACGCCGCGCGTTTCGAAGGTGCTTTTCCGGGCGAAGCGGACTGATTTGGTGTTTTTGAAGGATGGCGTGTTCTTTCTGTTGTTTTCCGTTGTAATGATCACCAATTCAGAACCATTCTGAAACGTCATATCCCATACATCGACCGTGTCTTCGTTGAAAGCCTGCAGGAACTTCTCCCACCTGAACAGATACAGGATGCCTTTCTTCGGTGGGTTGAGCCGCGAAGAGTTCTTGCGCATCATCTCCCGAATGTGCTGCATCGTGTGCATGATATCCGAGTTGACCTGATCGAGCATCACCTTTTGGGCGTCGTCTTCGTTGCCAGTTTCCTGGATCAAAGACGTGGTTGATTCCTGACCATCACTCTCGCTATCGAAGTCAACGTGCTCGTTCGGCCGTTGCTCGTAGGGCTCCTTCATGCGATACTTCCGACCTTTAAGCATGATAGTTTCGTTCTTGTAGCTGAACGTTATGGGTTTAGCGCGGGGATCACTCTCCACCCTTTTGAGAATGCAAACCGTCCTCCGGAACTTGCGTGCAATGTTCATCAGATTGATTTTTCCGCTTTCGATCGCACTGCTTTCCACGTAATACTTCTTCTTCCCGCAGTAGATAAGCGTCTTGGTCATGTCAACCAGTGGGGAAAGTAACATGTTCTGCTGAATCTTTGCATCAGTTCCCACAATATCGAAGAAGATCGGTTCCTTAATGGGCTCTTTTCGTTGCTTGCCGTCCAAGTCTCCTTCGCTGATCTGCCGCTGGCGATCGTGGGTCTTCATGGCACTTCTTGCCTGTGCTTCCAACTCTTGTTTACGTTCCTCAAAGAACGCCTTCTCGCACTTTTCCAAGAGCACCTTCAGTCGTTTCTCAGCGTGAGGATTTTTTCGCTTCATTTCTTCATTCTCCTTCAGGTACCGTCCTTTCCGATAGTAGTTTCTGGTTCTGTAGAAATTTTTGTTCACAGGAATAGCTCGTCGGCACGTTTGGCCATCGTTGATCTGCAGATCTTCGATCGATGCCCTCGTCGAGGATGGTTCTGATTCACCACTGATTTTCTTATCCGGAGACTTTGGCTGTTGGTCTTCTAGCGTTTTCCTCTTTTTCTTACGCCTCTCATTCCACGGTTTGTAGGATTCTTCTGAACTGTCCCGTTTCCGGAATGGTTCCCTCACTTCCTCCGTTATGGTTTCAGTCTTCTCAAACGAATACAGTCGCCTTCGCCGAGGCTCATAAACCTGCAGCAGAGGATCCGGTTTTGGTACGACCGCCGGTGTTGGGAGGACTATGTCACTTTCCTCGTTGAACTTGAACGGTTTACCGTGGGTTGCATTGCCATGACAGTAGCACCGGTACAGGCAGTGGATCATGCACCAAGGTTCAATGTTCTCCAGATCCTGAAGTTTGTTCAGAACTACGTGTGTATGTCGAATGCGATCCTGCAAGCTCAACGGTTGATTTCCAACGACTGAACTTGTCCTCGTTCGTTCAACGGAAGCTTCGCGCGGTTCTTCCTCGTTTGGAATGATACCGTTCATCAAGTTCTTCACGCTATTCTCGTTGTAGTAGTCGTCATATTTCTTCGGTTTCTTCTTATTCCTCCTCATTTCCGTTTCCGTATTCCGAACCAGAACCGTACTGTTGGTGGTCATTATCACAGTTGGAGTAAAGTCCCGCTCCTCCTTTGCCAACTTTGCCGTAGCCTTTTCCCTGAGATACTTTACGTCCTCGCTCGTCAAGGCCGACAGACCTTCCTCGCTGAAATCGGTGTGAAGATCTTTGGTGGTCGTGCGTTTCTTGTCGTACCCGCACTGGCATCCGAAGATACAGTCAAGCTTGCTGCAGTGAGCCCGAGCGACGTTAGCGTGTTTGGTGGAGAAGACGTCGCAGATGCATCCTCGGGCACAGTATTGCTCGTCACAGCGCGTTTTGTGGTCCTCTGCCAAAGATGCCATCGGTTCCGGCATGGTTTCAATGATTGTTGCGTTCAGGCGTTTCATCTCGCGGCTGGAAGAGGTAATCATACATCTTCAAGATGTTGCAGTGCAAAAGAATGTTATGAACGGCGATTGATGGTGAGCCAATGATAATGGATGATTGTTGGATTAATAAATTTGGATTCAGTGGCGTCAATGTGGGGAGGTGCATCAGCCTTTCACCGGGTCTGACTACATATTCCATAAATCAAGGTAGAGTGGGACCCGGGGCAAGAAGAGTACCCTTTATGTGGCTTTGAGGTCAAGCGACTGATGTTAGAAGAAGGAGCAACACTCAAGTTGCATCGTAAAAAAAGCAGAACTCATCAATTTTATATTTAATATTCGATGTTACTCGGCTCCGCAAAGATTTTTAAGACATGGGTGTCACTTAAATCAGTTCGTTGGAAAGAGAGTCTCTTCATTTGATGGGGATTTTATAAACACTTTTAACATAATGGATTGAATGCTTCTGTTGGACTACGGTTTAGTTAGAAATGAAAATTAGCAGCACTGTACCATATGTGTGACTTCATGGCCTACAAGTCGCTCACTTGAAGCCCTCTTCTGAAAGTCCCGTTGATGTTCAGAGGACTTCTAGTGAACACAGGGCTTGAATAGAAATTTCAGAGTATTTTTTGGGGATGTTAAGGTTCGGTCAGGATGAAGACTCTTACAAGAGAACCTACGTTTTGAGAACTTTTATCATAGGACATGTAGACCGTAGTCTTCAAATAATTCATCAACGAAATGAGCGAAATGATCGCCTGATGACTCAATGCACCTGATACTTACGACTTTGGACCCACCCACCTGACGCCACTGGTGAAGTACCACCACAATGAAAAACAATGCAACAAAATACTCACAGCATTCTTTTGGACTTGGCCGCATTCTCCAGATTCTTGGTCGAGTCCTGGGGAACGACCGACCTTTCCACCGGTTTGTCCTCTTTGGTATAGTCGCCGTCCGGATCGTCACTTATGAATACATCTCCCGCCATACCCACAGCAACCGCATCCGTTAGCTCCGAGAGTATGTCGGCGCACTCCTTCTCCACGGGATCAACCTCGCCCGCTTGTTCCGGATCGTCCAAATGTTTCCTAAACATAAGTGGTTCCTTCAGCTCCTTTTCGAATCTATCTAAACTTTCCGCCGATTGTTTTGGCGCGCTCGGTTGCATCACCCTCCGGCGAATGAGAATCCTCCGTTGGTTGTTCAGGTAGGGCATGGTGAAGGAAAACGACCGATCCTCAGCTGGAATATCCTCTTCTTTTCGGTCGGGAGTCTTCAGCGTAGAAACGGCAAAACGTGCCCATTTCTCGGTGATCCCCCGGAACGGGAGCATCATTTTAAGGTACGGTTTAACGGTTGGATCCAGCGGTCGATCAATGCGAGGAAATACTTCGATTTCCACGCTTGGCATTTCGAAGATTTCCAGAGGACCGAGGTACACACCATCCTCGGTTCGATTCAACAACTGACTATCGTACCGGAACTTGGACGAAAGCGGACCTGGCCGTGTTCGGATCGGCAGTTGGGACGGGGTTCGCAGCAACTTTTTGTCCTCCTCGTTCTCGACGGAAACTGTTTCTTCTGGCTCACCTTTGATCTGCACTTCATCCGATGGTAGAATCAAACTGAGATCAATGTTTACGTTTGTCGGACACTCGGGGCAGTGACAGATGTGTTTCCGGCTAACGGTGGCTGGAGCCGATAGCTGCTTCTTACCCATTCTTTTACTGGGATGATTGCCTCTACAACCGGTCAGCTTGACGTAATAGTTATCGACTCGAAGGGTTTGGAAGAAGTACTTCCCTTTCTCGGTTCTTAACCACGCCAAAGCTTTCCACGTATCCCTGGTGAACGGGATGTTCTGGTCTTGCAATTCTTGCATTCGATCCTGATTCAGTTCAACGTCGATATTCTTGCCCCGTTTCTCCAATTCATTGAAGATTTTCGATTCGTTGTCGATCATCAGGTAACGGACGTCGTTTTTCTTCTGCAATAGAATTCGCTTCTGGGCGACAGTTCTTGGCCGTACCATATCGTCCGGTCGCCGGGGACATTCGAGTCGCGGTGGAAGCGACCCGAACGAGATCAGACCCTCTTCACGGAAGAGATCATCACGGTTTTCGATCTTGATGTCCTCGGCGATGGTACCGGGCGCTAGGAAGGGAGCATTGGGACGAGATTTCTTGACAATTGGCGTCGGAAGTAGTCCCGGTACGCTCGGTTTGTCCAGTTTAATGGCGTCGCCTTCGTCGAAGCCGTAGAATTCCGTAGACGAATTGGAATTAGTGTTCTCCAGATCGAGATCGAGCTGCTCGTGGATTTTGTCGAATATCTTCGACGGACGTACCTTTTTCGGTTCATCATCTTCTTCGATGTACCGAGGTTTGACGGCAATCTTCCGACGGTCACGAAGCCGACCGTTTGTGCTACCTTCTTCAGCATCTGCTGTGGAGGAACTCGGAGTGGCAGTTTTTGGGAAAGTTGTAGGAAGCGTCAGGTTGAATCTGCTGAAAAGTGAATCGACTACCGAGGTTTTCGTTTTGATCGGTTCCAGTTTGATCGTACTGAATGTAGGATCGAAGAGGTCAGTTGCGGAGACATCCTTCAAGGATTTCGTCGGCAGAATGTGCTCTTTCAAATCGCCCACAATCGGTTTATCATCTTTGCTATCGTCGTCCAGAGCGTTCGTATCGACGAACACGATTTCAGGCTTCGAATCTGTTTCGTCCACTATCTCTACATCGGAATCCTGTTCGTCCTTAGACTTAGCTATCAATTCGGGTTCCTCTTCATCCGAGTTGTCGTAATACTTTTTCAACGACTCCAAGTCAGTATCGATTTCTGGCAGTTCAGGTTTCACCGGAGATCTCTGAGCATCTGCATCAAGCTTTTCCTTCTGGTCAACGGTCCGCTTAGTGGCATCATTGCTCTTCTCCAGCTCCTGAGCCCTCGACTTGAGCATTGAAATTATTATCTGAACCTTTTCCTGTATGGAACAGTACTCCTTTTTCTCCTGCTTCAGCAGCGTCGGATCAGGAATGTCCACCTGTTTCGTGGATTCGACTTCTTCTTCGTCTTCGTCTTGCTCAGTCTCTTCAACCAAATCGTCACTATCATCGGAAGATAGCGATTCGCAATCGTCGTCATCCACTACAACCACTTGATCGTCCTTTTCCCGTTGTTCTTTGTTACGTATCGCCTCCGCTAACCGTTGTTGTCTCAGGATCCGTTTCCTGAAATATTCAGGAATCGTAGCACCCCGAAGACTTCCGGGTGACGTTCCGACGCGTTTGTCCAGCACCAGATTCTGCTCCCGATGGTGAGCGCTCAATTTGTGCGCTAGCTGTTGTTTATGCATCAGTCGGCAGAAGTATTTTTCCAGCAGCTTCCGACGACCGGTGTCGATGCTCGCTGGAAGATGATACCGCTTGGACAGCCTGCGGAAGACGCGTCGGTACCGGGCGCGACTGGCAGCCGGTATGATACGGAATCGATTCAAGACGTGCCTTTTGCGACCCATGCACGGGCTTTCAGCGATGCATTATTCCTTGGTACATGGCTGGACGGTTCCGGTAATACCTGCAAGCAGGGAAGCAGAGAAGAAGAGGGTTAATTTAAACTGATGGACGGGTTTCGGAAATTCTTAAGTTATTAGGTAGAAGACTATGGCGTAAATGACCGCGACCGCCAATCGCCAATCTATCGACACTCGAATTGATTTTCGGTGGAATTTCGACTAGAATAAGCGCTCGTCATATCGAGCAGAAACCTGGGGAGGGATGTGCTGTCAAATCAGCCTACTGATCATCTTGTATGAAACTGGTTCCAAACGTAAACAAACGCTGTAGGTTTCTTATGGCTTGTGTACGTTTGGAACCAGTTATGCGAGGTAGGCGACGATTGTTCGTATTTGACAGCCAGCTCCCCCCCTTGGCAGAAACATCAAATAGGGGAAATGGCTCTAATGTTGGCCTATGGATCTAAGATTGGGCCGATCGCTAAAACTCTGCTATTTATCAATTTTATCTAGATGAACGCGTCATTGGGACGGTACTAATGGATATTTTTGGTTGCTATTGAAGATTTAGCTGATTGCTGAATTTATGTATGGGCCCAAATTTGGGGCATTTAGGCCGACATTACAATATAATTTGCCTGAAATTTATTTTTACAAAAAGCCATTTGACCAGGGGAGGCAGTGCTGTGAAATCTGCCTACTGATCATCCATCCACGATATGTAAATAGTTGACGCACAGTGAATTTGCCGTCTCTTTCGTTCTTTCGTTTATTAAATGGTTATACGAGTGTGACGTCCAACTCTGTCATTCATTTAAACAGCCGAAGAACGAAAGAAACAAAATTCAAAATTCACTGGGCCTCACCTGTGTACGCTCATTGATTTTCCATAAGTGAATTTGGTTCCAAACATCAATAAACCGTCGTTGCTTATGGCTTGTTGTCGTTTGGAACCAGTTATGCGTATAGTCGCTATATTCGCAATATAGCAACTATTATACTGCCCATAAAAGCATAACTGTCCCATATGAATAGGAAATCAAGAAAATATGGGACAATTATGCGAGTATCGGCAGTATAGTTATGCGCTAAGAGGAAGAGGAGACAATAGGCGGGCGAAAACCAGCAGGACCACTTTTCTGTCAAACGCGAACCAGCTTGTGATTGGCCGATTTGAAGTGCGTAAGATAGATAAAAGAGCAAGAAGCCAGTTGTCTCATCTTCTTCTTAGGTTATGCGAGGTAGGCGACGATTGTTCGTATTTGACAGACAACTCTCTGTCTTGCATTTGGCCAGTCATATGGCATAAAGGATCTACACAGTTTGGCATAAAGTCGATTGGCATGTCATTTGGTGATTTTGCCACGAATGGCATAATAGGTGAACTGGAGTGATATTCTGATCAGCTGCAGAATAAATCATTTATGATTTCATATTTAGTGATACGCGAGAATCCGGAATCACTGACAAAAGGTCAAAAGTCAAAAAACTAAAAAGTCGAACAACCAAGGTGGCCACTGAATTTAAGAAATTTAATTATCGGACTTTCCTGGATACTCATTAAAAGGAAAATCATTAAAAGTTGAAGATTCGCGTTTAGCAAAGTCTTAAAGATTCGAAATCAAATCCATGTTCAAGATCTTCAAAAATTTCAAAGTGCCCGAAATAAAAAAAAATAAAACATTGAAGAAGTCTCAGACATTTGATATACCGTGATGGGTCCTAATTCCAATCAGCGCCTAATTCCCGTTCACGTAAATGAAAACATTTAATATCAAACAGATTTGTCGCGAAACATCAATCGTCGTTTAAATGTCTAAGCACAAAAAAAAAACGATAACGTAACTCTGTTTACAGAAAATTCGATTTTTATTTCGTATTCATGTTCTCTATAGTATTCTCTTACAGTTTAACGTAGAAAATCTGAGATCCAATCAGTCGTAAGCCAAGGAGCGGATTTTGATCTCACGCTACTCATAAGCTTCAGCACAGATGCCTTTCCAACAATTTTGGATACTTTTTCCCAGTCTTTCGCAAACTTTGTAACGAAATCCGCTGCCTTTACATGTTTCCGCAAATATGTTTTGGTCATGACCCAAAACGTTTCGATTGGCCTGGCCTGGTGACAGTTTGGCGGATTCATCTCTTTGGGTACGAATTGGACCTTGTTGGTTTTATACCAGGCTACCGTGTCCTTGGAGTAATGAACCGTCGCCAAATCCGGCCAAAACAGTACTGAGGCGTCGTGTTTGCGGATCATGGGTAACATACGCTTGTCATTGTCTCCGTTGTCACAAAAGATTTGGAAAGCATACCACAATCACCAATGGCTTGCCAAACTATAGCCTTTTTACAGAATTTTTCGGTAAAAATCGACTTATCCGCGTCTTCAACCCGTATTTTATACAATAGTATTGACTACATACTTAGAAAAAATCACCGACTTCGGTAATTTATTTACCGAATTCTCAACAGCTTAATGGTCGGTAATTTTTTCGGTAATCGAGAACATTACCGAAAAATCTGTAAACTGGATCAGCAAAATTAGCTGTCAAATTTACCGAACGATCGGTAACGTTTACCGATTTGCATTGATTTGTAGTCGACTTTACCGGAGAACTGTAATTTTGAGGACGATATGCAAATCGAAAATTACCGAGAGATCTGTAATTTGCTTTAATATTGTTTCAAGGTGGCGGTCACTGCAACCCATTGCAAATTGATCCACCAATGAACAAAAACAAGTTTTTGTCGGGAGGATTCGGCGCTACACTGAAAACAGGGAAGCATTGGATAAAGATTCCAAATGCTGTGTTCAAATCGTTGCCAACTGGAATGTCCAAGAAAAAACAAGCAACAACATCGCCCATCTCTAATCGGTATTTATTTAGAAAACGAAAATTAATTACTTACGGAAAATATCTACGATTCGCTCATCTTGGTGTTGCATAACAGCCTCTTTTTATTTTTTACAAGCATGAAAGTCGATCGAAAATAACAATATGGTGGATTTGACGTTTACCGAAACCGTTACAGAACTCAGTAATGGAAGCGTAAAATATTTCACCGAAGTCAGTGATGAAGCTGATTTACAGATCTGCCGGTAAAAATGTTTACCGTTTTCGTTAAATTAAAATGAAATTACCGAAATTCGGTCATTTCATTTACAGTTTTCAGCAAAAAAGCGAGAAAATACCGAAACATCTGTAATTTTTAGCATTACCGATCTAAGACGGTAATTTTTTTTACCGAACTCAGGGTCTCTGTTTAAGTGTGTACAGTAACGAAAAAAGTGACCAAATAGTGACTTTAAAACAATAAAATAGTGACCATTTATTGATCGGAAAGATATTAAAGATATGGATCTAATCTGTGGTTGAATGCAATCCGCTTTGACAAATATAAATTTCCAAACCACCATGAGCATTTTACAAGATTTTTTTTAAATAAAACAAATGGTTGAATTTGTTTTCGTAAAATCAGTATTTATTGGATAATCAATAGGTTAATTTGTATCCTCCATTTCCTCACATTTCTGCCACGATTTTTTGGAAATCAACCGTTGAATAAGTTGAATTTAGATTCAGATCGCGAATTGGTTGAACTTTGGGATGTGAAAGATTGAACATAGAAACTTATTAAGAAATCTTGAAATTGGAGAAAATTCAGGCGCAAAGAAAAATGTTCAACGTCTTGAACAAATCCATCAATTTTAATACAAGCAATTTTAAAGATCTCGAATATAGAGAAGTTGTAAGATTCTGGTATACATTGTAAAGATATTGGATTTTTTACTTAGTAATTCGCGATTCAATTCAATTCAAACAAATTAAGAAAGCGTAGAATAACTTACGATATGTTAGAATGTAAGTTCACAGTCCGAGAAAAATTTAATGTTTCTAAAATATAGAAAATATTTCATGATTTTAAACAAACAATTTATCTAAAATCTGGGATTGGAAATCTACTGATTCCGGACTTGTAGAAAATACAATTTGATGGGCTTGGAAAAACATTTCTGAAAAAAAGAAGATTCTACTATATGATTGCGTTCGATGTTTGCCGATACTAATGCTTCCGACCTTCAAAGATTTATCAAAATTCATGTCTTTGAAAAAAATCTCTAGCGCTTGGAAAGTTTCCTAGACCATTTTTCAACATATTAGGCTTAGACAACTTTCAAGATGACAAAGATATATCGGAACCAGGGTTTTTTTTTCTAAATTTCAAAATTTCGAGATCATAGACAATGGAATTGTATGTCCTAATTTTCTTGAAGATAACGGACTTGAAACAAATGCACTCTGGCCATTCTATTTAAGAATTTAAAAGCCTGTTTTTTCGGTTTTTCCAGTTGTCTAACCTAGTTTTTCCAGTTTAATTGAAACAGTTAAATATGGTAAAATATTCCAAGTACCATCACAAGTTTTATCGCATGATAAAACCCAAATTCTTACTTGAAGTATAGTTTATTATTTTGCTTAACTATTGACCATAAAGAATACAGTATGTAATATGTAGTAAGTTCAAAATATGTTATTCTCAATTGGGGATTGGAATTGAGAAGAGAAATGCAAGGAAATTCCAATCATGATTTGTGAAATAATCTTAAAGGAATCTTTACAGGATTCCAAGAGTATTTTTTTATTTATAGATATTTTCACACTCTCGGATCTTTCGTGCTTTATCCGGGTGAGATTTGATCTCATGATTTTGGAGTGAGAGGTATGGATTCAGATCTTTATGTTTTACAGACTAACCACGATATTCAAAAATTTCATGGTATCTGGTTAGCAAAAAGTGCAGAAATTAACTCTATGTCCGGTGTTGAACATTTGCATGCCAAGCATGATCGGAGTTTGAGACGGCATGAATCTGCTACTCTATCTTGAAGTAGCTTCGTAACAGGATATTTCTCGCTCAACCTTTATACTAGAACTACTTCACTTAGAAAACTGTAGCAAAAGAATTCAAGCAATGACACCATATGCATTCCATATGAAATTATATAAATTTTGCTATCGAAAACAACAAAATCACCGCTTGATCCGGGCGCGAACAG